TAATTTAATTTATCAATAACTTCTTTTTGTAAATAAATCCCATAATAAATTTAGTTTTTATTTAAGTTGTTAAATTTAATTCTTTTTTACAATAACCAAAAAATAAAAAAAATAGACCTTTAGCACTTTTTATCTTTTTTTTAATTAATTAAATATTTTTATCATTAACCATTAATTTTGTAAATAAATTTTATAGTTAATTAGTTTTAATTCTAGGTTTTAACTTTAATGCATTTTCTTTAATAAATTAAAAAAACAATTAAAATTAGAATTATTTGACTTTTAAATTCCAATTTAATTTTCTTTAATGTCATAAAAATAAAAACATAAAAAATAAGTTCTTTCTTTTTATTTAACTTAATTATTTAATAATTTCATTTTAATTCCTTTAAAGGGTCCAATACCCTCGCATTCGATTATATTTTCTTTTCGCGCATTTTATTTATTTCTTTTGTGAATATAATGTACTTGCCCCAAAGCCCTGTAATATTTAATTAGACATTTATTTTCTGCACTTTATTTTAAATCGGGTCCTGGTTTAATTTTGGCGATGTGGACCCGCGCCTTTTGTAATAGCTTAGAATTTTTACTTTCCCGCAATATTTTTAACTGTTAACAAATGGCATGAAAGAATGTATGGACAAAAATAAAAACAAGCGTAGAACACCAATAACCTGACAAGATAAATGCAAATGAAAACGACACACAAATCACACACCACCCCTAGGGTACGCCTCACTATTGCCTTGCCTCGAAAGGTGATCGTCGAGTAGAGGATGTCTTAGTAAGTCCTCATGATCCAGGAACCTGGCATGAGGGTAGCTTCTAAGGTGTCTTCCTATTGCTCTGGTGATCACCATGTCCCGAACCTCGAATTGACCCGAACACCTCCAACGGTGGTGCTACCTACCTCTCAATGGTGGGATGGCACTACTTTAAAGGACATTTACACAGACGAATTCCTTAGGGTAGGTAGACGACTCGTGGATACTTGCTCTAATTTCAAAACAAAAAATTCAAAAAAATACTTTTCACACCAACACATTTTCAAAAAGCTTTCGAAAGCATTTTTCAAACACTCTTGAGGACCGATACAAGAGTCGAACTGGAATTTTCAAAGAAACTTTTTAAAACCCACAGTTGAAAAGCAAACAAACCATTTTTGAAAACACAATGAGCAAGTATCTAAGAGCCCATGGATAACCATGGATAGAAAGGGTGCTAACACCTTCCCTTTCTATAATCTACCTCCCGAACCGAGAACTAATCTCATAAGGAATTTTTCTGTGCTTTTGTCCTTTCCATTTGGAGAAAATAAAAGACGGTGGCGACTCTTGCTTACCGCGATATTTCGCGAAACGAGCGTTAAACAGTCAGTTCCAGATCCACCGATCACACGTACCCTAGAAGTGGTGTGTGTATTTGTGTGTTGTTTTCAGTTTAACAGTTATCTTTGATCATGGCACTGTGAGCTACGCTTGTTTTTTAATTAACATACATTCTTTCATGCAAGTAGAATTTAGGAGTGCGGAAAGTTAAAAGACGGAAAGATAAAAGCTACGCTATTACAAGGTGCGGGTCTATACATCACCAAAGTACAAAGACCCGTTTTTGATAAAAGATGCGGAAAGTAAAAGAAAAGCGATAAACCTAATTACTATTACATCCTTGAGCAGTTACATAATAATGACTAAAAGAAATAATGCGCGAAAAGAATTAAAATGAACGTCTGAGGGTTTTGACCCTTTGCTTGAAATTAAATGAAATTAAAGTCTATTTAATTATTTAATTAAAGAAAAGTGTTTTTTATGTTTTTGTATTTATGAAACTAAAGAATAGAATTAACATTAAAAGGAAACCCTAAATCTATATTATTTTAATTATTAAAGAAAATGTCAAAGTTGACATAATTTAAACTAATTAGTTAATTTACATATTTATGTACAAAAATAATAATTAATAATAATAATAAATAATGAGGAAAAATTAATTAAGAAAAAGATGAAAATGTCAAAAAAACCTAATTCTATGCATTTTTTATTTATTAAGGAAAGTGTCAAAATTAAAACCTAATTTAACTAAGTTAGTTATTGAAATTCATTTACAAAAATATTTTAATAGTGAAATTAATAAGAATTAAATATAAAACATTTTTTTGGTTTCTGTTTTTTTATTATGAAAATTATTTTATGGTGAAAAACAATTAAAACATTAAAGAGAATTAGAAAAGAAAATCAAATAAAATAAAAAAAAGATGCAAACCAAAGGGGGTATCAGGCCCAGAATGGAGGTGTTTGGAAGTAATTCAGGCCCATGAGACAAAGCCTTGTTTGACTTTTCTGATCATGCGTATGATGCTTGACTCGGGTACACCCTGGATACCATTCTGTGGCCATTGGATGAGTGATCAAGGCCACTTGGCAGGCTATGCGTGAGGTTGTATGGTGAGCCCTTGAGTGAACGCTGCATGGAAACACGTTAGGATAAAAATTATGAAGTATGTGGGGGGACCTGGCAATCGAACCCAGGTCCCAATGCTTGCAATACACCTCATCAACCAACTGAGCCACTTAGCGCGTTTGTATATATAATAGGCAACAATCCTTATGTAAGAAAACAAATGTTAGTGGTATATCACAAAAAAACGCGCCAGATTTTAAATGCTCCAGTCACAATATGCCACGCGTGCTTCGTCTTTGTTTGCCTGCAATTATATGAAACAAGTAGCGGGGGTTTTAAACCCCCACAAATTGAAATAGTGAAAAATAGCGATTACGCCTACAGCTTATATAAATTGAGCGCGAGGGTTTCAATTGCTTCGTCTTGAGCTTCTGAATTCATCTGTATAGGTCTAAAGGTCTAATTTTTTTTCTACAAGAAAGCCCTATTTTGAAGCTTTTGAAACCCCAATATCCTTCAATGGTAGATTTTGATTCAAGCAGTTTTAGAACAATTAAACGTTACCAAAAGCTTCAGGGAGATGTTAGTAGCATAAATCAATAATCAAAACACATGAATGATGCGTGGAAATTAAAATTCGATCATGGAAATATTTGTGAGAAACGTGACTCTGTTCTACTGTTTCTTTGAGTGTGAGGATCTGTTCTTGATGCCAATAGCTTCCTAGCAATGTCAGTAATACAATGGAAACGTTTTGAGACCTTGAATTACCCTGCAAGTATGAAATCAGTTTCCAAGTTTTTGTTGAAAAGTTGCAAATTGGTTATGGCGTGTGAGCAGCTTTTTCGTGTCCGTATGAGTAGGGTTCACTCTTGCATAAGTATGTGAAGCAAATTAGGTCAAAAACAAGCCCATGGATCCATGAATTTATGATTTGAATATTTGATTTTCAATCATGAAATTTCAATCTTTTTTTTCAATGAAACTTTTCCAATTGTGGAAGATCTTGTCCCCTTGGATGATGCACGAAATCTTTAGCATATTTGGAGTATATTTGATGCACAAAAAGATTTGAAAAAGCATTATTTGATATTTTTCTACAATTAAAACTAATTAAATGAATTAATAAGAATAAAAATTCAATTAATTAATTAAAAATAAGAAAATAAATCCTTTTAAGCTCAATGGGTCGTGCATAGGCTTTGGGTAATGATTCAAGAAAGAATTTGAGGCCCATTAGCAATTTTGAAGTGTTTTAGGCAAAGTTGATTTTTGAAAGTTCCCAAAAATTTCCCAACTTCTCCAATGCATATCTTGCTCAATTTTGAAGCTATGAACATGTTCTTGGACATTTTGGAAAGGTTTTGAAGTCCTCTAACCAATGCCTTTGGTCCCATGTCATTTTTATTTACCAATCTCAAGTTATGGTCTTTGACTTAAAGTGCCTTTTTGTTAACTTTTGACAATGACCTATAATGTTGAAATTGATAACCTTTTGTGAGAGCATTTCTTGGACTTGGAGTGTGAAGATGAGTTGTAGTAAATGTCATCCCCTTCAAAATGAGCTTTGGATGGGATTTTTCTGATAAACCATGAAGAAGTTATGCCTTGGTCAATTTGCAGTTGACTTTTCAACTGTCCAAAAATAGAAACTTTTGCATCTTGAGACTTTTTGAGCCATGCTTGTGGAATCATGATCAAGAATTGATCAAATGATGATTGTGGCCTCAAAAATAAGATGTTGACCAAAAATCTTGACTTTTGACAATCAAATGACCATTTTTCCCCTGCAGTTGACTGTGGAGCAATTAGGGTTTTTGACTGTGCAACTTGACCTTGTGAGCCTTGAAACTTGACATGTAGGTGCTTGACAATGTGTATGAGCATATGGGACTTGATTGAGCCCTTGAAAACCTCAACTTCCTTGCAGGAACCAAAACCCTAATTTTGACTGGCTTAGGAGAATGATTGACTGTGCAGCCCTTTGAGTAGACTTTGAACCATTTGGGGTGATGCTTGGCAAAACTTTGAAGATTATGGGAGGGCAAATTTTGGGGTACAACATATGCAAAGGCATGAGATCAAAGAGGATCACGGTTCCATCATTTCTGAATATGATCGTTGTACTATTCTGAACCATATGAGTATCATCAGATCAAAGGTCTGACATAGCTTCTGCACATATAAGAACCAAGTACCACGTGGATCTCCCATTGTACGGGGTCAAGGCTTCTGAAACATCGGATACTGTTGAGAATTTCTGAACATGCTGGGAATACCAAGATTGAAGGCTTGAATGAACCTCCAAGTAAACAAGTCAGGAGCTCAGGAAATAAATCTGAGAGCCATACGGTCACCAACAAGATATAGCATATGCATAAAGTTACCAACAGAAATCCAGAACATAACCACTAAAACAAATAATCACTGTCTGAGCATAGTCACCATCTGTACCTGTGGTAAAAATTCCCTCCCCACTCGCGGGTGAAGACTAGGTCAGGGTAAGGCAATGGTAACTCAGAATCAAGGGTACTCCTGAAAAACTATCACCGTATCACCTACTTGAAAATGATAGCCCCTCATCTGTACCTCATCTGAGCATGGACGACATGGCGGCGATAGTGAGACCTAAGTCAACTAGCCATTCATGTTCCACTCTATTCCTAGGGTTCCTATGGTATACAACTCTGGCCTGGGTATTGGGCCTTTTACCTCATAGTAACACCCACCCAATAAGAAGCAGATCCAGTACAACAGTAGTATATGGAAGACAGTAAAATGAAATGCATACGTATGCTCAAGTATATACAAAATGAATGAATAAACTGAAAGCATAAAGATAAACACCCAAATGAAAGAAAGCAAGAGTTAGGAGCGACTCCAGGATGGACCAACATTTGGTCGACCTGTTCCCAGTGAAGTCGCCAGCTGAAACAACCGGCTGAAAATCATCAAAATGATGAAGTCGCCATCGAACGTCTTTTATCCCACATGTAGGGAAAGGTAAACATCGAGAAAACCTGAGAAGGGAGAAGTCACGGTCTTGCGACCGAGAGATCGGGTAAGGGAGTCTGTTACGCGAGGGGAAGGTATTAGCACCCCACACGCCCGTAGTAGTCTACGGTATCCACTCTTGTCATCTATCTTATGGGTGTGTTTAATCTATGCTTACTGTTTTCTATACTATTGAAGGGATAATGCATGCAAAAGAAAAGAGAAAAGAATGTAAGGAAAATAAAATTGTGCTCGCCTGGGCCCTACCCCAATGCCTACGTATCCTTTTTGAGGAATCAGAGCTACCGTAGTTCGGCTCATATGTTTTTGTTTGTTTTGTGTTTTTTATAGACAAAGTTAATTTCACCTTCTGCCACAGCTCGACCTTTGGAGACTTATGCGTTGGCACAAAAGTAAACTAATTATGTCCTTACCCGAAGAGGGTTTTAGAGAAAAGGGTGCTCGAGTGCACAAAATGATTTGAATTGGTTTATATTTTTGTTACCTTGAAAAAGGGTTTAACTATGATTAGCATGTTTTTGATTTGCTAAGAAGAGAAGTTTTTGTTTTGAATGCACATGCAAAAGGGAAGAAAAGAGTCTAAGGGAGACTAACCTATTTCTAAACCTAATGTTATCATACAATGGTAGTCCTACGTCAAGGATGAAAGGGGAAGTTTCTACCTAATGTCAGCATGCATGGTTTGCAATCTAAGGTCTATCTTGCGTCCGAACGGAGCAAGCTCATCCTAAGGGAACATGGTATGTACAAGGATAAAGCAAGAAAGCCAGCAAAAAAAGCACACCTAAAGAGATCATTCCTAGGTTAGCATGTCGAAGAAAAGTCTAAAAAAACTATCCTATAGGGAGCATGCAATGAGAGCGAAGTCGTGATCTCAATTTCTAAATTGAGTGACTCATCGATCAACAAGAAAAAATGGAAAGCGATAAAATCCTATAGGGAGCATGCACTGAGAGCGAAGTCGTGATCTCAATTGCTAAATTGAGTGACTCATCGATCGACAAGAAAGTAAACAAACACAAGCACAACACATATAGCAAATTAAGTGCAGAATGCCTGCTACATGTCTTTAAACAGCGACTTCGAGCGCACGCTCTTTATTTCCTACTTCTCATGATATCTAGGAAGCAATAAAGTGCGAAGAAGTACAAGGGTAGTAGCGGAGACTACCAAAGCGAGCAAGTCGTCAAGAGAAGATGAAAGCGCTGAAAAAGCAGGGAGTACGCGTCGAGCAAGCTTCACCAAGAAACAAACAGAGTCATAAGCACTATCCAACTAAGATAAAGGCTAACGCGTGTTGCGAATGCAACGCATGATTAGAAGTTCCTGTGCAAAGTATCACAAAGTATCACATGTATCAGGATAACATATAATATGATATGAATTTCTCAGGACGATGAGAAATAAAGCATGTTGCATCAGGAGCGAGCATAAGTCGTATCCTTTGATCGCCTAACTACTTGTTATATTACATAATTGAAAGCAAAAAGAACGTACCCTGCATAATGAACAAATACGTCAAAAATAACATGGCATTATTCAAGGATCAGGACCTACCCCTAAACCACCCATCATGCCAAGGAAATTGAATCAAGGATACAAAATCAACAAGAACGCGTAAAATCTTAATTCTAATCATTTAATAAACACTAATTCAATTAATTCATATGCTAATAGAAAAAATTATTAAAAAATATCAACAAGTCAGGAATCAACATATCAATATCCACACCAAATTTCAGCAAAAAATCATGAATGAATCATCAATAATTAATTGCAAAAATTAAGGAAATAAAGTGAAAATTACAAAGAACAAGGTGGTGTAAGGATCAAATCCAGGGGTGTGACCAGAGGGTCCAGACACTAGGCCCGTCCATATTGAGTCTAAGAAGAGTTTTTTTTTTGTGAGTGACTCGGTCCAGGTCCAGCGAGTTTTTTTTCATTCATCCAACATAAAAAATAAAATCGGGCTTAAGGACAGCCTAACAACCTCACATTTAGTCTCTGTTTTTATTATTGAATTAAAAAACAAGAGTTAGACAAATTAATTGTAAAAAGGAAAGAGATTAGGGTTAAAAGGGGGTGACGATCCAAGTCCTCGTAAGATTTCTTCTTCTTCCCTTTCACCGATCGGTGCCGAACCCTCCACCTCTTCTACCGTCATGGATCCTCAACCTTCTTCGTCCATTACAACCACCACTAGATTCAACCCTCAACGTCGCCATGACATCTTCGTTCGATTTTTCATAACCTTACGTTCTCTCAATGGCACGATCTGCACCTCGACCTTATCTCCGATTCAACTTCAATGACGCGACTTCGTCTCTGCGAGAGACCGCTCAACGAATTTCGGATTTCGGATTTCGTTCGCACAAATGAGCTTCACATTATGCTAGCAAGATCAATGGAGAAAACATCGAAAACAGAGGAAGAGTGATTTACCTGTCAGAGACGCTCGGACGACGACTCTAATGGAAGAATCGGAAACAACTCAGGTACGATTATGCTCTTCTTCTTCGCTGATTTCTTTTTCTTAGATTCTGTTCTCCGTGTTTTCGGTTGTTGATCTTGCGTGCGGTTATCGATGTGCGTTGCAGAGAAGTGAGAACTGGTGATAATGTTGTTGTTATGAATTTGCAGATATGCGTGAAGATTTGGTTATGGCGATGTGAAATCAAATTTGATGAATAAGTAGCAGTGAAAAAGTGAAGGTGATGATTGTAGATGAAGAATAGGGATTGCAGAGATGATGAAGAAAATGAACTGAGATTGAAGATGATTGAAGAAGATCAAGATTAGAGATGAGAACTCGAGCGTGGAAGAGAGAATCTCATAGGTGAGTGTTGAAATTATTTTATTACTCTTCTTGATCATCCAAAAAAAATGTCGTTCCCTTCTGTTCTAATTCTGTTATATCCTCCCTCTTCTCCTTCTGTTATGATTCTGTTAGAGTTAGTTGAGTGAAGGAATCCATTGATATTAGAGTGAATCTAGGCCATATATTTAGAAGGATTCAATTGGCCGATCAATGGTGAGATGAGAGTTGGTTATCTCGGTTGTTATGACAGTTAGTTGGAGAATATGGTTAGGGAAAGTGGTTAAAAACTGTTAAAGGGTTGTTTGGAATTGGTTATGGATGTTACAATTTGGTTAAATTCTAAACTGGTTTTTTGTACTGCTTTATGCAGGTTTTTGTGGTTAACTGCTTTTGAAAATTGCAGGGCTGGTTGTGGAACATGGACTAAGGCTTGGATATAACCAAGTTGGAATAAAGCAATCTTGGAAGATAATGGCTTGAAGATGAATAAGTTTAGAAATGAATGATGGAGACCTCGATTTAGAATTCTTTAGCTTTAGACCACTTGAAGATTTAATGTAAATTCTTGTTTTGATTTAGTAATCTTGGATGTAAATGGCCTTTGTAATCTTCGCTTGTAATGCTCTAATGACACAACTTGTAAATTGCATGGTTATGACCTCGAATGAACGAGAATGAATTTGGATAACCTTTTGACAAATCATGTGTGATTTAGAACTTGTAAAGATCATATCATTGAATGAACGTGAACCCATGGATCTTGATGAGTTTTGATGAACAAAACTAATTGATTAACCTCGAATGATATTATGACTTATAATTCTTTGCAAATTTATAACTTGTACACCAAGAGAACCACATGAGCGAATCTTCCAACCTTATCTTGAATCAATATCAAATCCGAGCAACTTCATGCTATATACACGACTTGCATTTTACAATCCAATCCACACTATATCTTAACTTCATGGATAACAACAATGTCTTGAGGGCGTTTTGGAGTATAGAAAGAAACGTAATATGAAGCCCAATGAACCTCATTCGATAGATAATACAAATTCGAACATAGAAGATGTGACACCCTAATCAACTTGTGTTTGATGAATTCTTAATGGAGGATGATCTTGTAGCTTGATGAAGAAAAGATCCACAACATCCATGAACACAAAACCCTAATTCTGCAATTTCACTGCCTTGAAAAATAACTGGAAGAATCAGGCTCTATTTGAACATATACACCTTAGCCAGTTGATAAAACCCTAATCCTGAAGGTTCTCGACCCCTTGCGAAGTTATGTTGTTAGCGAATATATGCAATGTTAAATGACCTAATGGAGATATGTTCATGAGAAAAGTGTGACAATGCATAAACCAGATAAAAGTATAAGGGTAGGACAAATTTGGGGTATTACAAAGTCAAACAAATCTTATATAGTTCTTCTGAATCCTTGGTTGCTTTAGCAAACTTACTTGTCACACTTTGTGTTTGATTATTATAACCATCGTAGTGCTTGACACATGACTTGTGAAAACTATTATGACTACCATCGTGACCTTTCAACCCTTGAGATGCATGCTTCCAATCTCTATATCTGCTTTTAGTAAAGACTTCAAAGCCAAAGTGCTCGGCCTTCCTGGGTTGCTTAAAGAGAAAGCAATGAAAAAAATAAGCTGCATTCTTCATCTCACCGTATTCTAACCATGTATAATTCTTATACCATGATTTACTAAATAATATTTTAATACTCCCAAATGGAGTACGAGGAAAACTTGGCAAATCTGGTTGCATTGGACCCTTCAATATATATACCCTCCTCACTTGGTCCTGAATATCTGGAGCATAATCATTAATTTGTTTCCTACGACCTGGATCATACACAATCTCATTTGGATTAAACTCATTAACCACATTAGACAATGGTTCTAATTCGGCTTCTGGTTGCACAATATTCATATTCTCAATATTTTCTCTAGCAGCCAAAAATCTCCTCATCTCTAAACAAAAGATAAAATAATTACAAAATTGTAGTTTCAAAATTTAAAAGAATAATAATCAAATAAAACAAATAAGAATAAACAATGCTCTTCAAACAAATAAAACAAAATTTAAAACTCTAATAAATAAATTAGTATTCGTAATTGTACATGGTTAATCAAACAACCTAAACTCTAATAAATAAATAAATAAATAAATTAGTACATGGTTAATCAAACAACCTAAACTCTAATCAATAAATTATAATCAAACATGGAATTAAACAAGTATAATATATAGACTTATTACTACAAGTTTCCTTTGAAAAATAGCAACTAGCATAATCACTAATTGATTTGTAATTGTAAATATATCAATTCAATTTTGTACTTGTTTGCTGGCTCAAATTAAACTTTTTGCATTGAACATTTGTCAACTTTCTAGTGAAATAAAAGTACAAAAAGAGAAAAATTATATACGTGCTTATCTAATTCTTTACCAGCATATTATTAGTGATCTCTAGATCCTTATTTCTTGTTGTGAAAAATATATCAAATAGATTAACAGACCAAGTCAAACACATGTAATATATTTGTATTATATAAAAAGATAAACACACACATCTGCTATTTAATAATAAAGTTAGAGTTTTACATTACCTGTTGTAGGAATGGTATAGAACTGTAAGAGAAGTTGACGAAGGTAGATTGAACAGAGAAGGAAAGAGAACGGTGATGACTGCTATTCAATAATCCTTTCCTTATTTAGATTTTTTCAATTCTAGGTTCCACTATTTTTTCTTTTTCTTTTAATTTAATTTATTTAAAAAAACATGAATACTAAAAAAAATTTGAGCCGGGCCGAGCCTGGGCATTTTCCCAAGCTGGCCATATGGTAGAACCGCCCATGTGCAAGGCTCAATCGTGTGAATTGGAGGCAAAATCAGTGAAATCGTGTGGACCTGCTAAGTATGAAAAGTGTGACTTCACATGGATCAAAATGCAGCAAAATGAATGGTTTAAGGGTCGTTTCTTGTTATGACAAGTTCCTAAACATGATTAGACACGAAATTGATCCTTAAATAGACTTGTAATTGGATTTAAACTAATTTTCAAATCTGACTAAACTTGAAATTTCTATTTCATGATGCTACCTTCATAACCATGGTGCCAACAATGTAGGGCACCATATGATGTGATTTTTGAAGCAGTTGAAAGATAAAAGCTTTACAATGTGCAAGGAGTGAGATCAATTGGATGTTTGAGCAAGAAGTTATGTTGAGTCAAAGTTGGAAGAAAAGGGCTGACTTTTCATACTTAGAAAATTTCTAAGTTTTTCTTCAAAAATGACTTATAATATCTTGCATCCAAACATGGCCTTCCACTTGAAATTTTCTCTTGACCCAAAAATATGGAATTAAGTAGATCTCTTGAATGACATTTTGAAACTTGAACCATTCAAAATCTTCAAAAATTGAGAGAGTCATGACTTGTTGAAGTTGGTAAAAATTCATGAAATTACCTATAATATTTTGCATCCTTAGGGCATCTTCTTTCCATTTTCACACTTTGCTCATAAAAGAAAGGTCGAATCTCACATCTTCAAGATTATTATGGAAAAAGAATGGGCTCAAGGTGATAAAAATTGATCAAGTTATGATCATTTGAAGTCACATGAAGAGATTTAAGGGTTCATCTGGAAGACTTGTAATCTTTCTTCACCATCAAGTTTCTTACACACAAAATTTACTTGAGACCATTGAAGTGATTTGTTAATGACCCTTTAAAGAGAAGGATGTATTTGTAATCACTCAAAAATACGAAAAGATGAGCAAGATATACCCCTTTGAAGTTCAATATCCTAGCACCTAGAGCAAGAAACTACCTTGGGAGAACTTTGCAATTTTTGATCAACCTTCTTGCACCAATACTTTTATCTTGCAGATAGAGGTTTTTTAGGATGATAATGAGAAGTCATAGAAACCAACATCACTTCCACATCTTGAGAAATGAAGGAGATATACACTTGTGATTAATGGAGACAAAGACTTGTCCAATTGAGTCAAACTTTTTTAGTCAACCCTTGTACTCTTGAGCTAACTTTGACAACTTGAGTCATAATGAATCATGGAATACTTTTTCATGATGTTACTTCAAAATATATTTCATAGAGGCTTGAATATCAATGAAGCTTTTGTTGAGGAAGGCACAAAAAAATGAACTTATGAATCTAAAAGCTAACTTTGATGGAATGCATTGTGCTTTCACCTACATCATCAACAACTAAGATACACATACATTGTATTTGTTAGTTAAACATAGATGCTTACAAAATACAAGTCAAGGTGCTTGGTTATTCCCCATAGGGTAATACTAAATATAGGGAGAAGAAACAAAACCTAATGTGTGATCTTATTGTGATTGAATTGATATGATATGATGAAGGGATCTTAGGGGCAAAAATTGGGGTACAACACATGTGTGCAAAGAGTTTTTGTTTTCAAGTATTTTATATTTTGAATTAGGATTTTGTTAGGTTTGATTTTAGTCTTGTCATGCAAACCCTAATTACTAATAATAATAAGGAAAACGATAAATTGCGGAATTTAGATGTCATACGCTATTACAACGCTTTAGGAATGGAGGGTACAAGTTTGTGAATGAAGGAAGGAAATAAATAAAGCCCTAATTATCTATTACAAACGATTTACATAATAATGCGAAATAATAAAATGCGCAAGAGTGT